AACTGTATATAAGAGAGTTCTCTACCCTCTAGAAAACCAGTAAAGCAGTAACCAGTAAAATGAGGAGGAATCTGAAATTACAGCAGAGTATAATCCCATTTGCATGTACACAAGATTGGAGATCATCTGTGGAGAGAGAAGAAGACACAGAGATTTTAGTCACCTCTATTTAGTCTAACATGATTTTGACATCTTCCACAAAGTTGTGTGTGTGTTTTCCTCTCAACTGTTTTGTAAGTCCCAGAAACAACTAGTTGGAGTAAAGTTACATGTAGTCATTTAAAAATCTGAAAAAGTGTTGGCTATGCCTAAACTTAAAGACACTGAGGGTCTGTTAGAGGATTTATCAGCAAGAATCCATAAGTAATACGTGTACAAACTTCTATACAACCAAACATGGTGCCCTGCACACTCTGTAGTCTGGACATTGAGGCCACACAGTCTGTTACTATGAATTCTATGGCCGGGGGTGTAATGAGCTCAGTGGAGGAGAGTGTGACTGTTATTCAGCCTGTGATCAGTGACTAGTGAAGTGACGACTGACCCTCCTGTCCTCCCACTCAGTCCTCCAGAACTGTGGTGAAGCGGAGGGGCAGCGAGCCTGGACACACATTTCCTCCAGAGTCTAAAAAAGGCAAAACACCTCCCTGACAAAGGCAATATGTGTTTCTCTCTCTCTGTGTGTGTGTGTGTGTGTGTGTGTGTGTGTGTGTGTGTGTGTGTGTGCGCCTAACCTGAGACCCTCTGTAGACTAGGTATTAATTTGTTCCACAGCTGGCACTCTTGAGGCCTCATCATTGTCCTGTGTTCTGGATGGTTGTAGTTCAGAGTCACATAGCCCTGCTGCTCAGGGGTGAATGTGGGCCAGTTAGCTCCATCAATGCCTGGATCCCTGACAAAAAAGACAAGCCGATCAGGACAGTTCAACTGTGTCATGAGGGCCCTCACACAGTTTGAGCCCCCGATCCTATCTTATTATGCGTACCCTGTTCGGGCAAAGTTGGCCCAGTGTTTCATAATCTTCTTAGTCATGTTCACTTCATTCTTCGTGTACCCCAGGGACACATTCAGAGGCATTCCAAAGACAAATTCAATCTCATAGCCGTGCATTACGCCCATCCACGCTGGCCAAGGATTGATGGACGACCGGTGGTCAAACAAATACAGGAAAGTCTTACCACCACGTTCTGAGTACCTGGAAAACAAATGGACAATATTGTGATATTGTTCTCCTGATATAGGTCAGGTTTATTCTAGAATATAAAGAAATTGCTCTATGGACTGGAACAATCACAAGAATTTAAATTGAAAAGTTTCGGAGGGACAAAGCATAATCTGCACAAGCTTTATAAACCCCAAATAGGCAATGTCAACTGTTTTATATTGTCATGATTTCAAAGTGACAGCTGTGACTTGATGAGACATTTGGATGAGGAAACCAAGCAAGAGGAGAATAATAAATCCTGCACCAGAGTCTCCAGACCATATAAAGAGTCTCTGACTCATAGCTACCCTTGGCCTGGGCATTGCACCGGAGTTATTATAGTTTTTATTTTTATGTCACTTTCTAGTTACTTATTTATTTTTTTCAATTCAGGAGTTAAGTCTCAATAGTGCATTGCTTGTTCCATTTTATCTTTTATTGTTTCAAATGTGTAGTTTTCTTTTTGGATTTATTAACTACAATATTAAATAAACATTTTCTAAGATACGTACAGGGGACATTTTATCATAGGCGAGATTTAATTGTTTTCCTGATAATGGTATGGAAACATGCCAGTTTTATCAGATTTGTACAAATGAATTTAAAAACTGTCAGTATACGGTTAATGTAGAATTAATTGTAGAAACTGGCAATAAATAAATATATGTCAACTGTATATTGGTTGAATCGCTTCCATCATACTTACCTGGATTAACCTTTAACATCAAACTTGTTAAAAAAAGAACAAATAAAGCAACTAAGACTCAGTTAATTAAGTTAATTGACAAATTAAGACTTAATGCTATGACTCTCATGACTCCTGCTATGAGCACCTGGCTGAAGGTCCTCCCAGGAGATCCCCAGGAGCTCCCAGACCAGTGTGAGAAGTCAATGCAGCGTGTGTGTCTATAATGTCTGTTCCCCACCAGCCAAATTATCTAATGAAGCTGATAATATTAAATGAACTGCTGTGTGATACATACATCAAAAATGATTGCATTACAAAGTCAACAGTACAGGGGGGGGGGAACCCATAGCTGAACCAGAAAGTTAATTTACTGCTTGAGACCACTTAAAGCAGCCCCTCCTCATTTCTTTAACACCCTGATTTTACAACAAGACAAAATCAAATGTTCTTTTATCTGTATGAAATGATGCTTTCATTTATTACTCTCATACACATGATGCCACTGGGTGACATCATCAGAGCGCACAATGTTTGTTTCCATAGTAACGCAGATGATAAACAACTGTACATCACTGCTGAGCCAAATGTGAAAGTGTGTCAAACCACATCATTACAATTAGAAAACACTGTTTACCTTTGAGCAAACTCCACCACTGGACAAATGAAAAGCTGGTCTCCAACCAGATTACCCAGTAAGTCCCGGTTTTCCATCCTGTTATTCTCATCTGTCCAATCAGTGTACTGGAGAATGGCAGCGTCTCTCACAACCTTACTTGCGTCTGCCATTGTGATGGTCACCCCCTGCAGGAACTCGTTCCTGGTTATCAGACTCTGGCCGCTGATGTTGAATCCAGGAACTCCATAAAGTAGGAGGTACGTCCCCTCGTCTTTGTTTAAGCCAAGTAGCACTTCTTTCTTTGGGAGGTTACCGGTTCTCAGCAGAACCTGCAGGGAGAGAATAAGGACGATTTGTTGTTTGTGAAGCAAAGAGGTGTTTTTCAAATAAGGATTCTTTACAAGATGCAACCACAGCATTTAATTGGCTTTATTATGCTGCGCTAATTACTCAGGGAGCGTAGATTATATAGAGTAAAACTAGGCCAGGTTGGTTGAAGTACGTTTGGTTCCTTCTTCTACATCAACTAAATTTCAGTATCCATGTGTGGGAGGTTTCAAAGAGTAAATAAAGTAAATGATCTAGCTACATAGACAGTTAAGAATAGTAAATAAAAAAAGGTAATATCATCTATTGTTCGTGTTGTTATGCCTTCACACTCCTTTTAAACTGATTGACTGGGTTTATCATCATGAGAGATAAGATAGTGAAAAGGTACAAACGCTTTCCCCTACTTCGGGTTTATCTGGTAGGAAGTCCTTATCAACCACAGGGACAAAGGGCAGGGCTATGAGTGAAGGCTCTGTGAGGACATCATATTGCTTCAATGTGATTTTCCAAGCATCAGCCTGCTCCAGACAAGCTTCCAGTTTAGCTGAGTTGGCCGTGGGACACCCCAGTGACTTTGCCAGCGTCAAGGCCCTGGATATTGACAGTGAATGGGAGCAACATAATTACTAAAAGCTGCGATAAAGAGTAATGAGAGAAAGATGGCCAGGGGAAGGGTTTGAGAGGATAGAAACCAATGAGAACAAATATATGTGTTTGGAATATGGAATGTATGATGATCCCGGTCAAATGTACTAATACAAAAATTGTGGATTCATTGAGGATTCATGCTCAGAGTACTTTGAATATCCAAGGGATCACCAAAGTCAGTAGATTCATCCCCTGGGGACCATGAATGCAACTGGTTTTTAATTTGATGGTAATCCATCTGATAACTGTCGAAATATGTCAATTTAAAATAAAGACCAGGCTGACAGATCAACATATAAATGGTCTATATTTACATCGCAATCAAAATGAATTATATATACATATGTTAGCTACCTGTTCCAGGACTCAGTCTGGCTCATTGTGGCCCAGGGTGCATTGGGAGAGGCACTCTCCAGCACAGCCCTTTGAAAAAGGGCATGGCTCCCTGGGGACAACAGGTGAAGGCCCACAGATGCTGATCCAGCACTCTCTCCAAACAGAGTCACCTGGAAACAACAGCAGATCAAAACTCCACATATTATTTTAGATGGGGTAAGAGACTCTAATCCAATTCACTTTGTGTCCAATTCTGCTAATATAGCTTCCTGGTCCACTAGATGTAAGTTCAGTCTACTAAATACTGTTAGCCACTGGAAATGTCTTTGTGCTACTGTTACTATTTCATAGGAAGTTATAACCACAATCATTTTCACAATTGCACTGCTATGTTCTGAAGCAGCACAGACAACAGAAGACATCTAAATAAGTTCAGATATCAACAGTCATATCAACAGTCATTTCTGACAACTGCTCACCCCACCTTTCAATGATTTGTTAAAACAGTTTTTAGAAAATCTGATATTTAGATTTCAGTGAGAAGACCAAAACACTTCACCTTCGAAGGGTCACCTCCAAAAGCAGCAATATTATTGGCTACCCATCGAAGGGCTAAGCGCTGGTCCAGCAGACCTGCGTTGCCGCGGACAATCTTGTTGTCAGGAAGAGAAAGGAAACCAAAAGCTCCAAGTCTGACGTTGATGATCACAAAAATGAGGAGAGATATTCACGGCATTTAACTGAAGCTAAAACCCACATTCATCAAAACTCTGTTTTATTTCAGTATTTTCAGTTTAATGAGTTCTTACCTGTAATTCATCGACACCACAACAACACCTTCAGATTTAGTCAGGAAGCGGCCGTCATAAAGGTCCAGAGAAGACGTTCCTTGAGTGAACCCGCCTCCGTAGATCCAGACAAGGACAGGAGCCAGCGGGGGGGGCTGAGGCTGAGTTTTATTGACATGTGGGGACCAGACATTTAGGTACAGACAGTCCTCACTCAGGGGGGTGTTGGGGTTCCATATCTCAGCACCTTTAAACCCTGGTAAGAACAATCACATGAATCATGTTCCTATAGATCCTTATACGTCAATTTTGGGTACATTTTGAGACCTATAATAAGTTTAACTTCATTGTGAAGTGAGGTAACTTATATAACCGTTGTTGACAATGAGCTCTCAAAGGACTCAAAAAGAAAAATAATGAGGCTGATCTCTGTTGTTTTTCCTTTGAATGGGCACTGCTGTCCTGAGCAGAAATGGTTAAAAGTTATTGACTCCTGTCCATATGTGAGCTGTGATATTTATATTTGGAGTATTTTTTCTCTGTACACATGCATGACATTTGTTGTAGCTGGCTTCCAAACAACCCCTGACAGGTGGCGTTGGCTATAAATAGTGAGTAACCGTAATCCAGCGCCAATTCATGTCTTGGGTGGGGTAGAAGGCTTGCAGTTGGTGCATGTGTGCTAATTGATGTGTTAAAGGCACTTCTCCAAACAGTTTTAATTATTTCCAAGGATTTATTAGTGTCTGCGATATATTAATGAGCAATGCAATCACTTTCACTTCAGGTATGGATGCATACATAGGATTATATAATTTGTTCTGTGCAATGCAAATATTATTTTTCCTCACTGAGAAAACTTAAAAGTATTTGTTCTCTGGTGCTCTTGCAGCACTTGTCACACTTTGGTCATTCAGTTATAACACAACACAAAAACAGTTTTTAACGTTTCAACTTAAAGATGCCATCCATGTAAACATGCATCCAACCTGGGAAGGCTGTATCCGGCAGCTGGTAGCAAGAATTTGGGTATGTGATGGCGTCTCTCACTCCTTCCCATCTCTCTACTGGCATTGGAGCTTTGAATCGCAGTTTTCCTAGAGGTGGTTTTCCATAAGGAATCCCAAGAAATGCTCTGACATTACCACCCGGCACTGGAAGCAACTTCCCTCGAACTTTCCCATGACTTGTATTGATTGCCAGGTCATCTTGAATGACGGGTGATGCAGCCAGGAAATGAAGCAGCAGAAGAAGAGTGGCTAAGTGTGCATATCGAGGGACTGTCGCCATAGAAAATCCTGGGGAAGGAAAAAAATATCCACACAAAAACTATAAGTCTTCATCTATCTTCTCATTCCAGAAGTCTGTCTGTCTGTCACTCACATTTCTCGAAAAAAACGTTTATCTTATCAGCTTCCCTACCCCCTTAATATTGTTAAGGGCACAAGAAAGTGTAGTGTCGAATTTGGTGAGATTTGGACGCGCATCCACTTAAGTGGTGTTATCAACAATGATAGCTGATCCTCCAAATGGGGATTCTGCCTACTGCAGCAGTGGTGTTGCAGCTTCAGGGTTCTGACGAACTTTACCACAGGGAAGTTTTATTTTCATACACTATTATCAGAGCACCGTGGGTACTCACACCTTCAATCCCTTTTAACTCAATGGGACGTAATGATTCATACATTGGTATTTGTGTCACAGTTTTGTATTTTCATTGTCCCTCTCCTGTGTTCCCCTCGTCCCTCGCTATGTTCCACCCGGTGATTCTCCTGTGTTGCTCTGTGTCCCTCTCCTGTGTTCATCCCTGTCTTGGTTATTGTATTTTGTTCTCGTTGATAAGTTTGTTCAGTGCTTCCTGTTTTATTTTGTAGTCCTTGCTCCCTGTGTGTTTGTTTACTTCCTGCCCTCATCAGGTTCACCTGTTTGTCTTGTGCCACCTGTCCCCAGTTACTCATTAGTTCCAGTCTGTTTATAAGTCTTTGTGTTTCCCCCATGTGGTTGTTGGTTCGTCGTCGTCATGGTTCTGTCTGTTCATGTGTCTCGTCAGCTCTCGTCACGTTACCCAGTAAGTTTGTATCCTGCCCTGTTCTGTGTTTCCACTCCTGTTTTTTGAGTGCGATTATTATTTCTTGAAGATTTCTTGTGTTACGTTTACTCCCTGCTAAATAAAATACACTTTTTGTTAAACTTTAATTAGTTTCTGCGTTTTGGTCCTCCTCATCTCACGTCCCCCACCCTAACCTTGACATTTGAGTGCTGTACATTCTGTATATCCTTTTTTTTTGGTGTAGCCCTTTTCTAGGCTAAAGAATATCAATGCTTCAAAGTTCACTACAAATATAGGGAGCACTCCTTTATTAAGGGCTCATATCTGGGTTAAAGGTGAAAGGATCAAGAGGCTCATCCCTTCAGTAGTGAAAATAAGAGCATGTGCTTATCACTGTACTTTACAGTAAACCAGTAGACAGGTGGGTTTACTGCATTGAGAACCCCACACCTTCCATTTAGTACGTTGTGTATTAAATGTCCAGAGCAAACAGAATTATCCAGCAGAACGGCGTATGTGTGTTGCGCGCGCTTGCGTGTTCATGGACAGACAGAGAGAGAGAAAAGCGTGGGGGGAGATGTCACTGAAGAAACTCTTATTATAATCCTGGATTTGGAAACATTTGGGCCGTCACCAATAACGCGTTTGGCCGCATGACGCGCGCTTCGCTCCAGCTCCCTGCGTAAAAGCCGCGCACGGCGGGATAGTGACGGAGACGCGCGCCCCAGATTCACACACGCGACTTAAAAGAAAGGACAAATGTCTTGCTGGTGTCTCTACCAAGTTTATAAAAATAAAAACACCACAGGCGTCTTACCTTACAAGTTGACGGTTTGTGTGAGCCTGTGTGGAGCGGATGAGAACGCAAGGCGGTGATGAAGACGAAGGTGAAGAAGGCGTGGACTCAGAAGCCCTCAGTGTCTGTCGGACTAGTCCTGTCCACCACCCACAAACACCACCACTGCTGCCATGGAGGATCTATTTCAAGTCATAGTGGACTCCTCTGACCCGCAGTGCCTCTCTAGGAATCTGTGACTTAAACCGAAACAAGGATGCCAGTGAAAAAACGAATGTATTCTAAAATTAGAAGTAAATGATGCTTTCAGAATCCTAATCTAGTATAAATATCACAAATAACATGCCATTGTCACGTTATTGCACAATACCTAATATATCATTTATTCAATTGCAGTGTGTGAGAGGTACTTTTACTGTAATATACTAAAGACAGTGGTGGAAATAGTTCAAAAAGCTTTTCTTTTAAAGGTTGTGCGATAGATGAAAGTGAAATTCCGCAGCACATATTTGTGTTAATTTTTCAGCACTGTCCCTATAGCCTTTGCTTTTTGTGCAATAATAAATACATTTATCACTTTGCAGTATCTGAGAAAAAAATCTGATGTTTTTTTCTGAAATAATGAGATGATTACTAGAATTCTGACAAATGTGTTTATGAGATTTTTTTAAATCATTGAGATAACCCAAATTGCGAAACTCAACAATTCAATGGATCAGGACTTTTATTTGGATCTACACCAAACTCATTAATATCAGCCCCTTTAACATGTTGGATTTTTTTTCCCTCAAGATTCATGAATTATTCTCTGATAAATCAAGGAAAATTATTTAAAGATCCTATCATCCACCCCCGATCTAGATCAGCACTCAATTGAATGAGTTCTTCCCTGACCAATACTACATCCTTACACCAAGTTTCGTGTTAATCCACTAAGTAGTTTTTGGAGAATCTTGTTTACAAACTAACAAACGGAAAGGGGTGAAAATGTAACGTCCTCGGTGAAGGTAACGGTGCCATCTGTATGATTTAAATACGCAAGCATCTCCCAGTGTCTCATACCCAAAATAAAGCTGGTTCAAACTGCACAGGTGGGACATGTTTGATTCAGCACTCTCAAAGTAACTAAATGAGAGCTTCTCTTGGGATTTTGATGTAGGCCATCTTTGTTAATTCAGAAAAAAATGGCAGAATTTTAGTTTTTTTACTGTTCGGGTCCAAAACGTGTTTTTTTTTTTTATCTCACATTGGATACGTTTAGAGGTGAGATTTCTGTCTAGCAATGGGACATCTAAACTGTACTTAAGTTAAAAGTACTCACTTGTACTTAGATGTTTCCAAACTGTGCCAATGAATCACTGATGGTCCGAACAGGGGAGAAGTTTGCGTCATACACGGTGACGTGTTTATTTAGACACACATGGTTTTACAGAGGCACAGGTTTGCATGTCGCAAAACCCTGTCTTGTTAAAAAAAATACAATTTACTGGAAAATGCCATTCACATAATACATTTTAGTTCAAACGGGTACACCTTCATACTGCATCATGTCAATATCGGGAGTTGCATTCTGCAGTTAAGCTTTCATTCCTTTCCTATCAATATTTTAAGCTTAGGAACTCAGTGTTTCTCAACAAGGACAACCAGCATTTGGATCGAGTAGCTTGTGAAAAATAAGTTGTGGCAGCTTAAGTGGGCTACAGCTGTTATTTCAGTGTGTCAGATACATATTTAATCCACAGTATCTGACCAGACTGTTCTAGACTTCAAGTGCTCTGGTCAAAGTCAGGGCCAAAAACCTTGAGGAGGCAGCATGTTCCTCATTCAGTATAGGATGTAGTTTTAAAAAGGGACCAGGACCTGAAAATAATGTGAGGAACAGAGAGCCTGCTACTCTGAGTCTGTATCACTGTAAAAGATGGACGACACGTCTCCACGTCCTCCGGATATGAAGCCAAAATATCCCAGAAACAAACACTGCCATCTTGCACATTTAAAGCCAAAGTCTGAGCAGTAGTGATCATGGATGGACGTATTCATGACCTATACCGAAGCCAACCACCAGGTGGCAAGACGTTTTGGCTTTACTTTTCTTTCTCAAAGTGTTGTACACTATCCATTCAGTGTTGACTGAACATAATTTACTCATTCAAATAACGGAGTTTCTACTGCTCCATAGCAACAAATGTGTACGATGCTTAGGGAAGTCGAGGTTTAGTAATCCTTCTCCCGTGACCTCCATGTAAACAGAAGTGGATGTCGCATGATGACAGCATCTAGTCCCCCATAATTATACAACTTCCTGTTTCTGCCCCTCGTTTCGTTCTCACACTACTGTGTGCTTACTCTATCTGTGTTGCTTTTTTGTCATCTTTGCTTTCCTGTTCCACTAATCCCGAGGCCAAAGCTGGAGAGAAAAGTGAACTTATCTTTGGAATTTTTGAAGTCTGTGTGTGTGTGTGCAGCTCTGTGTTTACGTGTGTGTGGGTTAAGTGACTTTGTAGCCTGCGTGTGTTTGTTTACATGTGAGGAATTTCCCATTAGGTGTGTGTGTATGCTTGTGCATGTGTGTTTTTATTCATGTTATTTATAGAATGGTGATGTGCAGTTGGATTAACAATAAACAACCTCAGTGGAACTCTAATGCAGCGACACACATACAGACTGAGGCACACAGGCTAAAATGTGCCAGAGTATTATCATGGTGAACGATGGAAGTAATATATTTCTACTTAATTCATATGCGTATATAAGAATATGAATTAAGTAGAAATATATTACAGCAACAGTAAAATAGATTTTTGGCTGTCAAACCATTCAAACAAGAAATGCTTGTAGGTGTGTGCATGTGATAGATTCTCCTTCCATGAGTTATTTCTGTGCTTCTCTTCAGCCTATTCTTAGGTGTTGCACGTTATAAAATGACTCATACACAAGAAAACTGGTAAGCGTGCATGCTGTAAAAAAGAAGTTGTTTTGTGGATTTATGAATTTATCCTCAAATATACTTCATTTATTTGTTGATAATTTAATATAATGTAGCTTTTTATTTTTGCTTATAGTTAATTTTCTCTATTAATATATAGTAGCATATAGCCACAGGGAAATATTTAACCTCATCCATAGGCAAGGAGCTGTTTTTTTCTTTTCTGTCCCTCTTTCCGTCATTCTTTCTCTTCCCTCTTCATCGCTCCATCCCTAAAACAGTCAGCTGTAACAGTGGACATCAGCCCCAGAGAAAGGACACCGTGGGTGGTCTGACTCTAAGTACATGTGCAGCTCAGCAGGAGGGCTGGAGAGATGCACAGACAGAGGTGGGAAAACCGACTGAAAAATCGAGGGAGACGCAGAGAAGTGAGACAGCACTGACTTCGAACTAACCGCACACCTTTAGGGCTTAAGCTGTTAAAAAGAAAAAATGACAGGGATTTGATTGGAACCTTTGAGGGAGTCGTCTCACTATCTTATTCCAAAATAAGCTTGGGACTGGAAAGTTACCCCTCCTCCTGTCCAAAATGCATGCAAACACTGACACTCAGACAAGTTAATTCCACCCTTGCCCTTTTAATGCCAATCTTCTGATATGAGGGCAGGGATAAGCTGTAAAAAGAAAGAGAGGGGAAAAAAACATTTTTATTCATTTCTTGTGTGTAATCTTGGAATAAAGATATAGTCAATATCCAATCATGGTGTCACAGAGAAGGATAGTGGTTAATACCATGTGTAAACCTTCTTTTTATCAAATTTATTTAAATATATGCGTGTGTGTGTTGGTAGTTTTGAATGTCTTATTGGCGACATAAGATTTTTCCTTTACCTCCACCAAGTAGAATTATGATTTCATCAGTGTTAGTTTGCAGGATCTCCCAGAAACTACAGAACCTATTTCCTCTGAACTTGGAGAAGGACGCTGTCTGAGTCAGGGAAGAACACATTAAGTTTGGGTTGTGGATCAGCTAGTAGATTCAGGATTTTTTTTATTGGTATTTCTGAGTGTGTGGACTTTGTTGAAGATCCAAATCTGTATCTGGTGAAGATTTGGTTATTCCTTCCAGATTGTCTTGTAGATTCCCATAGTGCCATCAAAACGTTGGTTTCTTCCACAGGACACTGCTGTGTTGACTTTTCACTGCTTTTGGACATAGCTTTTAATTTGTTTGCCATGGCCCCTCTATGAGCCAGTGGCTCAAACTTCTTGACCGGTAATTTAGCAGAGCTGGGCCAGTGCCAGCCTTTTGGCAGTATAGAACCACATAAGGTGCTAGCACCCTGTTAATGGGAAAAATGTCCTTGTCTCACTGAATCAGCACCACCACACATCTCAGGCACAAAACAATTACAGTGTGGTGCATAAATGCACAGATACATGTGAACGCAGGCTTCCACATACATTGTATTAATCAGTGAATGGTCCTTCACCTTCACAAGTAATAGAGCACTTGTCCTTCACTGCCATAGAATTCACTAATTGGCAGAATAGAATCAGATAGAGGACAGAGACAGGGTTGGTGGGCTTGGGTGGGGGGTTGCTACTGAAGCTAGTGAAGTGAGAAACAGACGGGTGTATTAAATGAGAGACAGCTGGTTAACAGGTTGCAGAACTCAATAACTCAGTAAATGGAGTGTGGGATGGAGACTGACGAGGTCAAATGAGACTATGTATCCACATTTCCATCTACCTGTTGGTTGTCCCCTATCTACCCACCCTCTCTCCTAGCTCTGGTACAGTCCTCCTATCATTTGAAATCACAAGGTCATTAGTTGTAATGTTTGAGGTCATTATTTGTGCTGTAGGCTGAACATCTGTCTTTTGTTTGCTTGTCTTTTTCTGGCTGTAAAGAGGCTCAATCATCCAGCTCACAGTTACCCATAAAAAGATAAATCAGGGGCCACTAGACTTGGATAAAGTCCAACATCTATAAGAAATCATCCTCTCTAAGGCCAGTTAAGCAAAGTTTGTGGTTGTTTGCCAATTTATAAGCTATTAGCTTTATTTGGAGTCCAAACGTTGCTACTTACTGTGGAAAGTTCTGTCCTGATTGGACCTTTTCCTGCGACCACCATAATATGCTCAGTCATGAGGAATTGTCAATAGACTCACACAGTATAGGTTAGGAAATGTTCGATTTTTGATTATAAACTAATCCTCACTGTACGTCAGTGAACTATGAACACTTCATTGACTGCTCGTCAGG